ATCTCACTCCTTTGGAATGGAAGCACACTACCTTCATTTGTCCCGTCTTGAGGCCTTCGGCAGGGAGACCCATTATCTCCATATCTGTTCGTTTTTTGCATGGAGCGCCTAGCCCTTAGGATTTCTGAGTTGCTCCAGGAGGGTCTTTGGAAATCGATTCAGCTATCTCCTGGGGGGCTACCGCTTTCACACCTTTTCTTTGCTGATGATATCTTACTGTTTTGTCAAGCTTCAGAGGACCATGCTCGTTTGGTGGCATCAATCTTAGAGGAGTTTTCGCGTTTATCAGGCTTCAGAGTCAATTTGACTAAGTCTAAGTTTGTGAGCTCTAGAAGAGTTTCACAGAGGAGGATAGATACGTTGGAAGGACTGCTAGGGATTGGCTATACGGCTCGGATCGGGAAGTATTTGGGTGTTCCCATGACTCATGGTCAGCCAAGGTGCGCAGATTTCTATGATGTGATGGATAAGATTTAGGGTAGACTTGCGGCTTGGAAGGCCAAGCTTCTTAATAAGGCAGGTAAGTTGTGTCTGGTGAAGTCTACCATCTCCTATATTCCCGTATATAGCATGCAATCATTGTGGCTTCCCCAAGCAGTGTGTAATAGAATTGATCAGACTTGCCATTGTATGCTCTGGGCTAAGTCTGACAACACACGGTTTTGGTCTCCAGTGAGTTGGGATGTTGTTACTCAATCAAAAAAGTTAGGTTGCCTTGGGGTTAGTGAGGCGCGCAGGGTGAATGTATCACTCCTTGGGAAGCTAGTTTGGGATCTGCTTTCGGCTCCACAGAAGCCTTGGGTTCAACTCCTCAGCAACCTCTATTTACATGGAGACTTTATCCTGTGTGCTCAAAACAAGCGGGGTGCTTCTCCAATCTGGTCGAGTATTATTAAGGCCCTACCTTCACTCTATGAGGGATTCAAGCCTCATCTAGGATCGAGCACCTCATCACTTTGGTACACAGACTGGTCAGGTAATGGGCTTTGGTGCGGGAAAGTCCCTTTTGTTCATATTGCGGACACCAACAAAAAGGTTGCCGACTGCTGGGTTAGTGGAGAATGGAGCTTCAATGCCTTGTATACGGTTCTTCCGACCGAATTGATAAACTCGGTCCAACAGTTGAGTGTTGTCAATTCCCCTTTGGGGTTGGATCACTTTGCTTAGAGGGGTGATATCTCGGGTTGCTATACAGCAGCATCTGGGTATCGTTTTCTAACCCCGGGTTTGGCAACGGAGGGGGATGCAGTTTGGAAGAAGCTTTGGAGGATCATGGTTCCTGAGAAGGTTAAGTTCTTTCTGTGGCAATGCCTTCATTCAGCCCTCCCAACGAATCAGGTTCGGGCTGATAGGAGGTTGGCAGAGTCAGGTGCATGCTCGCGTTGCTCTTGTCCTCATGAGACCATTTTACATGCTCTTCGGGATTGCCCATATTCGCGAGAGGTGCTGATGTCTGGCGGGTGCAGTGTGGGGTGGTCTTTCTCTGTAATGGATTGTTTTCAGTGGCTGAAGGGGATTATCTTACACAAGGATGCGATTACGCTATCCATCACCTTGTGATGGGTTTGTCGTTTTAGGAATAATATGGTATTTAACGACGAGCTCTGGAAAATTTCGGCGGTCCGTCGGAAGGTGATACTATCTACGGTGGAGAATAGTGCGTATAACGCTAAGAGGCGCTTGTGGGTGGAGCAAGCCCTTTGGAGGCCTCCAGAGCACCCGTGGGTTAAGCTAAACATGGACGGGAGTTGGTTGAGTGAGACTTCTGCTATGGGGATGGGTGGAGTAATTCGTGATTGGGCAGGTATGTGGCGGGGGGGCTTTTCGCGTGGAGGCTTACATGGTGATGCATTACGTGCTGAGTTGTTGGCCTTGGAGGAGGGCCTATTGTTTTGTTGGGAAGGTGGGTTTCGGAAGGTGACTTGTGAATGTGATTGCTTGGGAGCTGTTACGTTGTTTCAAGATCGGCCAACGGATAGGGATTACCTGCACAAGCACTATGATGTTATTCGTCGTGTTCGGCAAATGCTAGCTCGGGATTGGGTAGTTTACGTAAGTCATATTCCTCGAGAAATAAATTCAGTAGCTCATACGCTTGCTAATTGGGGTGTATGGAACCTAGGTTCCAATGTATTTTGGAGGAGTCCTCTAGATTTTATTTTGCTTCCGTTAGGGAGAGACTCTATGTCTTGAGTTTGTCTGCTTTGTTTAGTTTTCATATTTTACCAAAAAAAAAAAGGTTAACTCTAATAAATTACCAATATTACGTATAAAAAGATTATCAATATTTTAAAGAGATTTTGTCACATGGACAATACACACTGATCACAACAAAGGACAAAGACAATAAACTCCAATGCTAGGTAATTTGGTAATAATTTCGTAATGATACATAATTAATTTTTTTTATTTTTTATTTTTTGAACTAAATTATTCGTTTTCTTTACTAGTTTCAACTTAATAATGATTTATAAGGTGATAAAATCTTGTACAAACGGGTCGTTTGTTTCTAAATATCTATAAAACAACTTCTAACTACCGGAGTGGGTAAAACCTGTAAAGCCTAAGAGTGCTAAGTTTCTAAAATAAACCAATCATTCTTGTACTTTTAAACTTACAAGTACCAACAAATATGTTAGACTTATATCTCATGAGATTCATTAGTGTTGTGGGTGTGAAGATTTTGTTGATGGGTGTGAAGATTTTGTTGGTGAGTTAGCTATATTATGATTTATTATGATTTTAATAAGTTTCATTAGTCAATTGAACTCACTTTATTTTATTTTATTTTTAAATTTTGAAGTATATAATTTTGATGTACGAAAAGCTAGCTAGCTAATTTGCACTAATTCCATACATGATATTTTTTTTTATTAATCTATAATATTAATAAAAAGAGATATTTTTATTTAGTATTCACATTTTTCTCTAATTTATTCACTTATTCACTCTTTTAAAATTAACGAAACAATTTTTTCTCTTATTTTTTTTTATAGTAAAAGTATAAAGTGTTTCTTCTTCGCTTATAATAAATAATACAAGTGGTGGACACAAAAGGATGACAAGAAGCGTATAATAAATTTATTTTAATTTTAAAGATAAGAACGGAATTACACCCTAATCATATAGTACTAGTAGAGGCGGCAGGCACTATTTAATGAATAATAACTTTAAAACATATAAAACATAATTTAAGAATATTTTTTTTATTTATTCTAACAAATTTTAAAAAAATAATAGTTTAAAATTTAAAACTTAAATTATTTAAATATTATACACCATATTAATAAATTAAAATACCTTACATGACATTTTAAGACTACACAATACTTTTTATTTTTTATATTTTTTAGTTTTCCGTGTATATCTTCCTCTGGAGACAAATTTGTTTGATATACAATTAGACACCGGATGCATACGTTTATTTATATAGAAATTTGACTAAACTCAACCTTCCTTTACTAATTTTTTTAAACACCAAATTAAGTAGAGAAATATATAACAATATTGAAGGATCCACTAATTTTTTTAAACACCAAATTTTTTTTTGGTATATATATCTCCTTTAATATTGTTACATAAAATTTAAGTTTACTCACTAATTTTCACTTCATGGTTGGATGAGACTTGACTTCTTAAATTATTTTACTGGTCCTTTTTTATTTCTCTGCTCCCAAAAACTTCATTTTTGACTTGAAAAACCATTTTTTTAATAATTAAAACATCTTTATTTATAGTTGTTTAAATAAACTCATTTATTCTAATAATATTTTCAAGATGATTATCATTAAAAACGAATGAGTTACTGTTCATGTATCTTACTCTATACCGTCAAATACATACAATTATAAGAGAACGATTATTGCTATCGTTTATTTAACTACATTTTCGAGCTGTAAACAGTACATATTAAACTACATGAACTATTTGCTTATAAAAAAAGACGGTACATATTTAGGGGCAAGATATGAAAAATTGCACTAAACTTGTGAAAGTCTCACCATCAATATCCTTATTTTTTAATTAACGTATACGATCGATCGTAATTGAGTTTGGATAAATTACCAAAATATTAAATAAAAATAGTAAAATTAATTTGAAGTGGTAATTTCGTTTAAAAAGTTTTTGCATCTAAATTTTCTGTCATTTTGACTTTAATATATATACTTTATCGGGTAAAAAAAATTAAATAGCCAGTTACTGGATGATCAAAGTCAAGGATGGGTATAGAGGCTCTAATTTTCATCCCACTTTCAGAGTGAAAAGTGTCGGCAGCAATACAATTGTAACCTTGCAAGATCTGCAATTGTGATTCGATCCACAAAGCCAAGCTTTATGTGGCACTTGTCATCCATAATATTGGCAAATATGTTCCCACTATTGTAAAGCCATACGTGAAATAAGAGATTGGAGAAATTATTAGATGATTTTAGACTATATGATGTATAATTTGTATTTATATGATATGTAGTTTAATATTATTAAATTTTTGTTTGTAAATTAAAAATTTTAAATATATGTTATAGTGGTTGGTCGAGATTATAAACATATGTTGGTATTGAACTATCTAATAATTTTTTTGTGGAATAAATATGAATTACCAACTTTTAAGTCAATAATAATTACAGGGTAAAACAAGAGAAATATAATGACACATTTTTAATTTATTTTCATTATTTAATAAACTATATATAAATTTTAAATATTAAAAATGAATTTTGCATGATTTAGCAAGTTATATATAAGTTTTACTTAATAATTAAAAATATATTGAAAAATATGTTTAACAAATATAAAAGATGTTTCATAAACATATTGATGGAACCAAAAAAAGGAATGGAATAGAAAAGTGTGGTTGTCAATGTTGTAAAGGAGTTTGAATTTTTTGGGATGTGTTGTACAATAGTATTATGGGAAGGCATAGTGAAAGAGAGATCTCAACTACATGAATTAAAGGTCCGTACTATGGCTTCCACTATAAATACTACTCCTTGCTAGCTCTAAAAATTCAAGCAAAAGAAACATTTATAGTTTGATTGTGTGATTGTTTAGAGATGAGAAAATTGTGTGAGGATATTGAAACACTTATTGTGGTCTTTTTACTAGTGATTGGGTTAACAGAATGTCGAAAAATAAGAGAAGATGAATTAGTGGAGGGCTTTGAAGGAAGTGGTTTCGGTAATGGAGGAGGTTTTGGTAGAAGTGGTAGTGTTGGTGAAGGAGCAAATGGATTTGGAAATGGACATGGAGGTGGTGTAGGAGATGGTGGAATTAGGGGAGGGTATGGAGGTGGGGATGGTGGTGGCTTTGGAGGAGGAGTTGGTGGAGGTGATGTTGGTGGAGGGCATGAGAGTGTTAAAGGTAGAGGTGTAGGTGGTGGAGTTGGAGGAGGTGGTGGAATCAAAGGGGGTGTTGGAGGTGTCATAGGGGGTGAGCATGGTGGTAATGTTGAAGGAGGAGTTGGTGGAGGTGGTGCAGCAAGAGGTGGTGTTGGAGGAAGTAGTGGAACCACAGGTGGTGTTGGAGGTGGACATGGTGGTAGTGTTGGAGGAGGAGGTGGTTCTAGTGGGGGCTTAGGAGGAGAACATGGTGGAGGCATTAAAGGAGGTGTTGGTGGAGATGGAGGTGTTGAAGGCAGTGTAGGAGATGAACATGATGGTGGCATTGGAGGAAGTGATGGTGGAGGTGGAAGTGCTGAAGCTGGCGTAGGAGGTGTACATGGTGGTGGCATTGGAGGAGGTTTTGGTGTAGGTGGAGGTGTTGGAGGTGGCGTAGGAGGAGGACATGGTGGAGGTGGAGGTGTTGGAGGTGGACATGGTGGTGGCATTGAAGGAGGTGTTGGAGGTGGCATAAGTGGTGGACATGGTGGTGGCATTGGAGGAGGTTTTGGTGGAGGTGGCGTAGGAGGAGGACATGGTGGAGGTGGAGGTGTTAGAGGTGGCATAGGAGGTGGACATAGTGGTGGCATTGGAGGAGGTTTTGGTGGAGGTGGACATGGTGGTGGCGTTGGAGGAGGTGTTGGTGGAGATGGGCGTGGTGATGGCATTGGAGGAGGTTTTGGTGGAGGTGGAGGTGCTGAAGGCAGCGTAGAAGGAAGACATGGTGGAGGTGGAGGTGTTGGAGGTGGACATGGTGGTGGCCTTGGAGGAAGTGTTGGTGGAGGTATTGGAGGAGGTTTTGGTGGAGGTGGAGGTGCTGAAGGCAGCGTAGAAGGAAGACATGGTGGAGGTGGAGGTGTTGGAGGTGGACATGGTGGTGGCCTTGGAGGAAGTGTTGGTGGAGGTCTTGGAGGAGGTTTTGGTGGAGGTGGAAGTGTTAGAGGTGGCGTAGAAGGAAGACATAGTGGTGGTGGAGGTGTTGGAGGTGGTGGCATTGGAGGAGGTGCTGGTGGAAGTAGAGGTGTTGGAGATAGACACGGTGGTGACATTGGAGGAGGTGCTAGTGGAGGTGGAGGTGTTGGAGGTGGTATTGGAAGTGGCTTAGGAGGAAGGGATGGTGAAGGCATTGGAGGAGGTGTTGGTGGTGGATATGATGGTGGCATTGGAGGAGGAGGTGGTGGAGGTGGTGAAATTGGGGGTGGTATTGGTGGAGGCTGTGAAAGTGGAAAAGATGGAGGTGTAGGAGGTGGCATAGGAATGAAACATAATGGTAGTTTTGGAGGAGCTGAAGGTGTTGTTGGTGGGGGCTTTGGAAGTGGCATTGGAAGAATTGGTGATGGGTATTAATTTAAATATTCCTTAAATCATGATCTTATGCTACGTAATATACAATGTTATATACTAATTAAATAAATTAGTGGGTTTTGTGATGTTTATCATGGATAAAAATACAGGTTAATTAATATAAATTAATGACATAAATTTTAGTCTTGTTATAATCTTATTCTTAGCGTATTATTGTTATTACTATAAATTTTCTTTTATCTAGCTAGTTTAATTTTTCTTATTTTATTTTTGTGAACATGAACCATGATTCCCACAATTAACATGCAAAGGTAAAGTAAAACATGTGTTTACAAAAAGTTACAAACACCTGAAGTAGCATATTTCTAGTTTAAGACAAATGAACTTACATAACATTAATTAACAAGTCAAAGAAAATAAATACATGGCTTTTGCAATTACAACAACTACTCTTAAAACAATGTTTTGATAATTTAGATTCTATCTAAAATGCTAACTAGCTAAGTATAAATTTGAAGCACTATAAAGTACCAACAATGTCATGACAAAGTGGCTACATAATTTAGTTTACTAAGCAATCAAATTCCAACTATATAATATGTAAGAGTCTTTCATTTTTTTTCCTACCATGTGTATCCTCTAGTCCATTAGACAAAGACTAATTATGTTTGCAATATTGTAACCATTGCTAATCCGATGATTTTTTGTCCAACACAATTACATTCTCGATGAATTTGCATCTAAAAGCTTTTGCACAAGATGATTAATCAACCCATACTGGCAACCAATTCTTACCATCAATGTAATCAATAGATATAAAGGGAACAACTTCTTCTTCAGTTAGTTGCCTCGACCAAGGAGCACGATGTGCTGTAAAAGCTCCAGGTCCATGGCATTTGTACTCCGCATGGTATAGATTTCTACAGTTTTAATTAATTACCACAACAATTAATCAATATTATTGTATTTTGATGAACATGTAAAAAATATAAGAATCGAACAAGTTCAATTAATTAATGATTTTCTTACTCTGTACTACCGTCATAGCTCCAATTAGTCCACCCCTCTGGGACAATGGTCACGGAGAGATAGGACTTAGCAAAAATGACCCTAGAATAAGGACCCTTGGCCCTTCCTAGGTACACCCCACCAATGCCATAAACCTTGCATTTGTGGAAGATAAAACCACTCATTTCACCTTCACTTTCCCTGTTTTGAGCCGTGATTGAACCATGAATTGTTACCCTTTTGTCACCAACCACAAACATTTCACAATCCTGCATGCAAATGTACATAATTCATATAACTTAACTAATAATAAATTAATTTTAGGATTAAAAGAATGGAATATTGAAGGACACAACAAACTTACATGGAAGATGGTTCTACCACGACCAAATATGAAATCAATTGAGCCTTGGATGTAGCAGTTATCATAGTAATGTCTACCTTTGTAATCAAAAAGAGTGTTATGAGTACTGTAAAATGCACAATGATAAAATGCTATTTTGTCTGCTGCCACAAATGCTGCCACCGATTGGTTTTGCGATGTATAAGCAACCCCTGTAGGTGCTTCATTCTACAATCAAAGAACAAGGGAAATTTTAATTTTAATTTTCTAATGCATGAAAATTTGTTCTTGCATGTTAAAATTTATTCAATTTTTGACCCTCATGTTCTTAGTTTCATCCACTCAAGAAAAAGGTTGCAAAGTTTTAAGTAAATAAAAAAAATTGACCTTGAAGCTAATTCCAAAGGCAATGAAGTCATGTGCTTCAACTTTGAAGGTTGCAGATGCCACGTTGTCAGAAGAGCTCTGAGACCAAACTATGGCAGTTTTTCCTCTCCCATTCCCTCTCATGAAAATATAAGGCTTATTCTCTGGTATATGCACCTTTTCTCTTCACATGATTAAAAAAATGAAAACAAGATTTAAACCAACTCCTCATATAATTAATTAAGTAACTTGTTGTCATAACAACTATATATAATTAAAGAATGTATATATTTTGTACCTATATAGTCCTTTTCTAACATGTACAATGACCCAATTAGAATTATCTTCAGGAATGGAATCTATGGCAGCTTGGACAGAATTGAACTCCCCATTGCCATTGATATCTACTTTGATAGTACGATTAATTCCTAACTTTTCTGTTAACAAAGGAGAGTCTGCAACTGTTTGTCCATCATAGCCAAGAGCACAATATAACATGCAAAAATTGAGAATTGCCACTATGAATATTGATGAAGCATTATGCAAAGACAAGGATGAAGAGGAAGCCATTGTCTTTGGGGTGAGAATTATGTAAAGTTAGAATAATTTGGGTCTGATGTCTTTTTGTGTGAGGCGTGAGTATGGGAAATGAGAGGCTCTTAAGTGATAAAGGTTTCTTTATTTTTGGGGTTAAGATGTTAGGAAGGTAAAATTGAGCGTTACTTAATGAAAGGAGAAAAGAATGGGTACAAGATATTCTCTATATTGGAGGACGTCCATAAGTTCCTTTAATTAACTTGAAAATTGGTTATTTTGGTTTTCATGTTAGTTCTTTGTGGTTTTCCAAAGGATTAAAATTAATGACCTACGAGGGTCTCATCCCATGTCTTAACCAAGTTTCTGTTATGCATATATAAACTTGTGCCTATATTCATTGGTATATATTAAATACTCAAATAATTGTGCACTATTATCAATAATTTTATGTATTTTTAAATTATATTTATTAATATGTCCTTGGTTTAAGGAATTCTTTTAAGTAAGATTTCAAATTCCAATATTGTAAAATTGAAAATGTGATTGAAAGAGAAACCCACTAAAAATAATCGATTAAGATTTCTAAAGAAAATTAATCATTTATAAAGTCCATAAATATATTGCACCTATATTGTATTTATTAATGAGGTTTAGTATAATTAGTAAATAATTGAGTATTTTTAAATATGTTGACAAATGTTTGATTTATGATGACAATTGAAAGAGATAAAATTCACTTCAATAATCTCTATGCTTTGAAATCAATTATAAAACATTTTTGGTGTAGAAAAAAATAAAAGCATTTACCTCCATAAAATTAATATTTATAGTATTTCATTATTTGACATTTAATATAAAAATAACAATATATAGTCAATATTATAATAATAATAATAATAATAATAATATCATGATTAAATGTATTTATTAATTTTAGAGGAAAAATTACTTGAAAAGAAAAATGAAGATTATAACTAGAATACAAAAAATGATTTGTCGTTTATTTTATGATTGACGTAATTCGTTATCTTAGATTTTTTTTTTAATTTGATATATAAATATATTTTATTTTGGTACACCCTTAGATGATGATTTAAGTTGTAAAAAAGAAGAAAAATTAAATGTTAAATAGTATGGAACAATTTTAGTAATAATTTTATGAAAGTTTTTTTTTTCTCTTTTAATAATTTTTTTTCTTTCTTCAAACATTTTGTTGCCCTTGAATTAATCTTATATTTATCTTCCTCCTCATAATAGACTAAAATATATTTTCTACATTACTCACATCTCTATGATTCATTGTAGACTCAATTAATTACCTTTATAATTACCCTATTATAGATAACATTTGATAACATCAAAGCCTACAACTCCTACTTGTAACATATTGACTTTAAGTGTATTATGCCTTAGATAATTAAGCACCTACATGCTCCACATTCTTTCATCTCTAATGTATTCTGCCTTTAGATAATTCCAAATTGTTTTTACTGATTTGAGAGTCATGATCCTAGTGAAGATTGTTGTAGAGACACCAGCAAAAAGGCATGATTTTGCCTTTGCTTTTCAGGTTTTTTTTCTCCTTATGATTCTTGATTTGGGTCATGGTGGGATTGTCCGGCAGCGGAGGAACATCATAATCCTCTTCCACAACTTCCCAAAGATCAAATGCCTCCAAGTAAGATTCCATTCTCACTGCCTGGAGGTCATAATTTTCCCATCAAAGACTGGGAGAACAACTTGGAAAAAGCTTGTTTCAGGTTCCATGACAATGTAAAAGCACACAAGTCCCTCAAAAAGAGGGCTCTAATACCAATTGTTGATTTTAGAGAAGAAAAATAATTGCTAACAAAGCAAAACAGAGAACAAATAGAGAGAGTAAACAAATAATAGATTGAATGTGCTGGATTTGAAAAATATGAATTTATCTAAATACAATTTAATTTAAATACATTAAAAAATAACTTACTTAGAGATCACATTCCGTGACTTTAGCTAGCACTACTAATAATTTAGCTTAAAAATAAGAAATAGCTAGTTTACTAACAGCTAGCTTAAAAATAAGAAATAGCTAGTTTACTAACGGCTAATGATAAGTTTTAAGTAAATTAAATTGACTTATTCAAAAATAAATCTGAAATATTCTTAAAAATATGCAACTAAGGCAATTTTCAACAAGTACAAACAAAAGCTTACATCAAAGAAAAAAAAACTGCAATAAACCATGAGAAATTTTCTCAAAAACCTTGAGAGTAGCATAAGCCAAACTCCGACAATTCCATGTTCTAAAAATTAACAACGGCAAAGACCCTTCCAAAATAACAATGAAGGAAATCACCAAACTCTTGGTGTGCAAAGATTACGAATATGATGTAAAGAAAAAACCAAACTCACAAACGAAAACTTAATGCAAAAGTGTCACCAGGCCACAAACAAATCCTAGAATATCCTTCGTTTAAGAATGGGATGGTCCAAGACATCAAGGTCAACAACTCTTGAAGCTTCTTGCACTGACCTTTGAATTCAACAGGAAAGCGTCGCAACATCAAAATAGTTTCCCACCGTAGAGAAGAAAGCCAAGAGATATCAATATTTGGCTGTAACTTCTGCACATCACGACGGAAGACGAAAACAAAACATTGAATCCCATCTACCACTACAACACAAAAAGTTTTTAGTAAAATTTTTCAAATATTAATAAAGTAGTATTTTTATAACATTTTAATAATATTGTTAAATTTTTGTTAATTTTATAAAATGATAATTAATTTTAATATAGATATTACTATTAATTATTATATTTTTATGTCTCTTAAACTCCTAAGAATTCTTTAAGAGAAGATTGAAGATATTCTTAATTAGTCACCACAAACTATATATCTATCAAAGTTCATTTATCTTTAAGTATAACTATATGATTATATATACTTGTTATGAATCATTCATTTATTCGATGTGAAACTTTAATTATGGATAATAATTAAAGATAAAAGAAATATACTTTTTTATTTGATGTGAGGCTTTAATTTTAGAAGCAATTATAATAACATTTTAAAAAAATATTACAAAATAACCTATGTAACATTTTTTTACTCGATACGAGACTTTAATTTTGAAAACAATTGAAAAGAATAATATTGAAATAAAAAATGTTATTCTATCTAATGACTTTTTTCAAAAAAAAAATTATAAAATTACTTATTTATTCAATATATAATACCATTTTAACAAATACAAGAAAGAAAATGTCGCTAAAAAGTTAAAATACATTAGTGTACCAATAAATTGAGAAAATGAAAGACCTTTTGCGTGGTCCAACCATATTGTAGTACTCTCAATTGTATCCACACTTGAAAACGATGTCACTATGCACGCCCTTTTTTCCAATTGGAGGTGAAATCAATGTACCAATCCTTTAGTGTTTCTATTTTGATGAGGTTTTGATGTTACTCAAATACCCACGCGCCCAAATTTCAAGGACAACAAACAACGTCTTCATTCTAGAAAGGAAAAGCGCAGTATAGTAAAAGAAAATGCAGAAGAGTCAAGAAAAAAGATGAATCAATAGCGTAGAAAAAAATATATCGAAAACAATTATCTTCTTACAATCCAATTTTGTATGTAAGGTTGAGTTGAATTCAAACTATCTAATTTCTTAATAGTATAAGAATCTATTTTAATGAGTGTTATTGAGTTTATTAAATTATTTGTTATTGAGTCATTATTAAATTAGTTATAGATATTTAACTTTGTAAAATTTATACTTAAGATGTCTAATTTTTGATGTGAGAGAGACATGTTAGAAATTTCAATGATATGAGTATGATCAATATCATGTATAAAAGTGAGAAATTATCTCTATTTTACAAGTTAAATTTGTAAAATTGAGTAAAGTTCATAATAAACTGTACAAGTTTATTTATCAATCCCTTTTGTCTCCATCAAATCATAACTGAACAAATTGAATGAAGAACGTGAAAAATTGGTGAGTGGGAACGAGATCTTATCTGTAGTACTAGTAAAAAACTGTAAAGTATTTGCTTCATTCATGCATTCACCAGTCTATAGTGTATTGTTAGTTGCTAATTAAAACCGAGACATAAACTCACTATTTTTACTGCATTAAATACAACCTACCCGCCATTATTTATTCTGTATACTGAGAACGCCTATACCTTACTGTGTCATGGTACGCCTAAACAATAATGAAGGAGAGATGACAGAGTTTCGCGGACTTTGGAACTTGGTTTGCAGAACTATTTTTGTGGTTAAAAATAAAATTCAATTGCGTGTAATACTAGTTTAATTTTACGCGTTTATGCATATATTATATTATATATGATGGTACTGTTGAGAATGTTCAACGCCAATGTAAGTATATACGATGCATGCAGTGCATGCATCCTAATATGGATATCATTCCTCAAACCTAATAGCTCCAATATATATATTTGTTGAACAGCTTTGTGATTCTTTCTTTCATATGCTGTGTGCAGTACGGTGCACCGTGAATTAAAGAAACTGAAAAGTAATATGGCAAGTTGACAGCTTATATTAAATTTAAAGCAGTGATGCGAAATGGAGAAAGACTTGTCAAGTGGCAAGTTGTTTACATTACCAAAAACAAGTGTCAAGTTGTTTGATGATCTTTTAGGCTAGAGGCTAGGGCACATTTAATTGAGAAGAAAGAATTGACAAGCCATTGGTTTTGAATTTTAATTTCCTCAACCTCTGCAATTTGTTGATAGTTGAAGGATATTTATAAAATGTAACATTGCTTTGCAATGCACGGATTTCATTGTGTTGCTGTTGCACAGAAACTTTAACATACATGAAGATGTTCATAGTTAGAAAACAGGTTCGGCTAACCAAACAAGTTGCATATTAATGAGTGTCTCCAGATTGTTAGTTGACAAAATAATAATTAAAAACTTGTATTTAAAATTTATAGTGAAAATATATAAGAAATCATTATGAAAGTGTATTAATAACACTTTTCTATATATATATATATATATATATATTATAGCTTCTTATCAATCTCCTAAGGTTATCGTGCGTTTAAAGATCTAAATCAGATAAGAACATGCTTAATAGCAAATAATGTTTAATAATAAATAACTATATAATAACAAGTAAAAATAAAATGTATTTGTAGTATTTATAGCATATAATAAAGGGAATTGCTCTATTCGATTTACGTATTTTATATTTTTAAATAATATTTATAATATATAATAAAGAAAACTGTCTCATATACATATTTTTAAATGATTTTGTCTTTATATTTTTAAATATTAAAAATTAATATTTTTATAAAGATAAGATTTAAATTCAAGATTTATAGGTTAAAATCTAAATGTAACACCCATTAATTTACCAAACATGAGTAATTTTTAAATACTTTTAGTAAAATATAAGTGATATATGAAACTCTCATTAAAGATATGTAAATAGAAAAAAGTTAGAGAAAAATTTGCTGAAATTATAAAAAGTGATATTTAATGGTGAAACTCATTTAAGATGTGTAATAAGTACAACAACAACAAAAATGTTGGAATAGTGATGACCTAAGAGTCAAAGTTAGCAATCTTAGAAACGGTGGCAGAATTTTAATAAAAAATTTGAGGATGTCAAATTAAATTTTTTATATATAAATTAAATTTTTTATTAATTAAAAAATAATAAAATTATTTATTTTTTCTATTCAAAATAAATATGCATGATAATAAAATTTAAAGAAAAAGATTATCATTCACTAATCATTTCATAAAATAATCATAAAATAAATATATATATATATATATATATATATATATATATAGATATATAGATATATAGATATAGATATAATTTTAAAAAAATTTGGAGGAGCCGTGGCTCCCCCGTTCGCCACTCCTTAGAAAATAAAACTCAAGTTAGGAAAACGTGTTTATTTTTACCAGTTTTTGAGACAGATTTTAAAACTTCTTATTTGTAATTATTTTTCACAGCTTTTTTCTAAAGTTGATTTTCTTTTAACTCATGAAAAATATTAACATGTCTTTTTTAAATAAAAAAATATATGTGCTTTAAATTTTTTTTAAAAAAGGTTACTTTTCTTATTAAATAGATGAAACAGATTTGCATTCATGACGGGTTCTGGACATGAAGAGCCATTAATGTTGACTCACTTGATAATTTGATTTTAAAAGTATGTTTGGAAGTTGAATTTTGACAGAAAATAAGAGAGAATTAATTTTTTATTTTTTATTTAATAAATTTTTAAAATAAAAATAAAATAAAAGATTAAATTGCACATTTGTCTCCCATAATGTCTAATATATAATTTGTCTCTCAATTCTTAATTATAATATTTTAGTCTTTCAATTTTATAGAATTTGTATAATTTTTTATTGTTAAAATCATAATATTAATTATGACCTAATATTAGGTGGATGATATGACAATTAATATCTAATAATATTTAAGTTAAATTATACTTTTAATTATTATTTTTATTTTACTTTATTATTTTTATGAGATAAAAATATGAAATAAAAGTAAAATTTAATCTAAATATTATTAGATATTAATTATTATGTCATCTACTTAATGTCATATCATAATTAATGTTATAATTTTAAATTTTTAACAATTAATAGATAATCAAGATAATCAAAATAACATATTTTATAAAATTGAGGACTAAAAATTAGAATTAAAAATTCAAAGGTCAAAATTGGAGATTAAAAATTAGGAGATCTAAAAATACAATTTAGTTAAAAATAAATTAATAGGTTCGTATAAATTTAATATCACCATCTTTTATTTATTTTTATAAAGATATGATTCTCTTAATCTAAAAAAAATTATAAAAAGATTACCTTTTTTATTTCAAAACTCAACTCCTAAAAGGATTAGGGTCATCCAACATTAATAAGAAACATGATAATGCCATGTTGTAGGGAGAAAAGACATAAATTAAATTGATGATTCTTCCACGAATAATAAGTACATATAATTATTTTAGGTATGCCTTTCTCACAACGGGACACTACCATGCATGTTTCGTATTAATGTAAGAGGATACAAATTTCTCTTTCCTGGTGGAACTGTTCTATATATTACCCTGACCCCAATAGCTAGTCATGTTCTTAATTAAGGTCTTGTGCACCTTCTCGCAGTTAGTAGTCACAGACAAAAAAAGAAAACAGAGAAACCTGCTTCCAAACTTCATTGTATTGATTATTTGTTCTATATATTTTCCAATGGGTATCAAGTTGAATAGACCGATCATTGTTCAGATTCTTTTTCTAGTTTTTATAGTTCTATCCTTGTTTAGGATTACAACTTCAGATAATTTACGACCAGCAAATTTTGTCTTCGGAGACTCTCTTGTCGACGTGGGGAACAACAATTACATTGCTTCTCTCTCAAGGGCTAATTACGTTCCCTTTGGAATTGATTTCGGAAGACCAACAGGAAGGTTCACAAATGGAAGAACCATTGTTGACATCATTGGCAAGATTAACTACTTATCTTTTCTTTCTTCTTATCATTATTTCACTTATGTGTTACTTGTCTAATAAATTTATCATGTGCCATCAGGTCAAGAAATGGGTATTGATTTTACCCCACCTTACCTAGCACCAACTACAGCTGGACCAGTGATTTTGAATGGTGTTAATTATGCTTCTGGTGCTGGTGGAATTCTCAACCTCACTGGAAAACTCTTTGTAAGTTTTCTGCTTCAATAACCATTGCTTAACTCTAAGCTTCAACTCTTGGTTGAAGGAAATCGTGACAATGTGCATGTGATTTTGTAGGGTGATAGAATCAACTTTGATGCACAGTTAGATAATTTTGCTAATACCAGGCAAGACATCATCTCCTACATTGGTCTTCCTGCGACTCTTAATCTATTCAGAAGGTCAATATTTTCAGTAACAATGGGTTCCAACGATTTCATTAATAACTATCTAGCACCAGCAGTCATAATTCTCGAGCAGGAATTGGCATCTCCAGAACTCTTTGTGACAACCTTAGTGTCAAGGTTCAGAGAACAACTCATTGTAATGTTCCTTGGAAGACCTTGTTTCTCGATATTACATGCTTCTAAATCTTTGTATAATATCTTTATACTATGTATGATGTATCTTATTAAACAAATAGAATATATTAAAAAAAAAATTAAGATGGGATACACTATATAGAGGATATTGTTGAAAAATATATCATTATTTTTTTTATAAGTTTGGTGTTGAACTGTTGATTGCTGTTATGCTTATCAACATCAATATCTGCAGAGGCTATTCAATATGGGTGCTAGGAAAATTACTGTGACAAATGTGGGGCCTATTGGGTGTATACCAAGTCAGAGGGATACGAACCCAGCTGCGGGTGATGACTGTGTTACTTTCCCAAATCAACTAGCACAGTTGTTTAATTTCCGGTTGAAAGGCCTCATTCAAGAACTCAATTCAAATCTGAAGGGTTCAATGTTTGTTTATGCAGATGTCTACCACATTTTAGAAGATTTGCTCAACAATTACGCAGCATATGGTGTGTTTTCAATGAAAAATTATTAGATAGTCTAAAACTATATTAAAACTATTGTAGTTATTATTGATCTCTACGTGACATGTAATCTAGTGTTATTAATACGGCAGGTTTTGAAGACCCATCTTCGGGATGTTGTCGGGTTCTTCTTGGTGGGCGTTTTGGAGGTTTGATTCCCTGTGGTCCTACTTCGACAGTTTGTTCAGACAGATCCAAATATGTGTTTTGGGACCCTTGGCATCCTACTGATGCTGCAAATGTTATCATCGCTAAGCGCCTCTTAGATGGTGATCATAATGATATTTTTCCAGTGAATGTTCGGAAACTCATTCAATATTAGATTCGATTCTTGTGCTCACATGAATGTTTGAGGGATGTTTTGGAGATATGAGATATCCTACATTGTGTATTCAACATAGGAATTATGTTTATTGGTTAATAGATTCTTTGGATTAGTTAGAAGTCTTTTTATAGCATTATTTTATTATTCTGCATAAAATATAAGCTTATTTATTTTTAGTCCACTTTAGTACTAGCTTAGGTATTTTTTCTACTGAATCATTGACGATGCAACTCTAACCCTTAATAACATGGTTAATTTTTTTTCTCCCAAAATCGAAGTTCTATACTAATGCAGTTGATTTAGGATTCAGAATATTAAGAGATTCAACAATGGAATTAAGAGAAACGATTGGTGTATTTTTTCATTATAACTTTTATTTTGAAGTTTCTTCATATCCTATTACACCATTCGTTATACTCCTGTTGACAATACATTCATTGTGATGAAACTAAAAACAATCCAGACCTACATTGTATTCTTAGAAATTCAACATATGAAAAAGTTTCCTTTTGCTTTTATTAATAGTTATAACAAAATAAGGACATAATAGAAATTGCCACCTTTAAAATTTGAAAAAAATATAATCTTAAAAAATTATAATATTAATATTTTATATTCAATAATAATATACAGTTAGTTTAATAAATTATTACTCTAGAAATGCTTAGACAGAAATTCAATACTCCTTTCGCTTTAGAATACGTTTATTGACTAAACTGTTTCCCTCACGGGAGATGTCTTTACGATGTGTAACATGAACAGAACTTTTGATGTTGTTTTATTAGAAGGCAAAGCTGGTTTTTCTAGCCCACTAAACAATTAAGCTCATTTTTCACACAATATTATGAAATTTCTTGGTGGGTCCACTACTTGCTTCAACAAGAGTAACAGTTAGTGCAATTATTTGGACACTACACCTTAATCGCACATTACAAAACTCATTGTATATCCCATTTTTTAGCAGAGAACCAGAGACAGAGGCCCAATTCATTTTGATGGGTATTTATTTGAACAGATATAGATTAGTCATTTTGGGGATTATGTTTCGAGTTTTTATGGTCTTGCTCTTGTTCAGGATAGGCTTCTCAGATGATATACCAGCGTCTTTTGTCTTCGGAGATTCCTTGCTCGATGTGGGGAACAACAACTACATCGTTTCACTAGCCAAAGCAAACCATGACCCTTTTGGAATTGACTTTGGAATGCCCACTGGTCGTTTCAGCAATGGAAGAACAGTTATAGATATTATAAGTGAGAGTTAATACTGATATTCGTTAGCTTCTTTCTTTCTTCTTTTTTTTTTTTCTTTCAAATTGTTGTGTCAATTGTTACTTCTCTTTGAGCATTTTTTGATGTCTTCTACCAGATCAGCAACTGGGTCTTGGCTTTTCACCTCCTTACTTGGCTCCCACTACTACTGGATCAGCTGTTCTCAAGGGTGTCAATTATGCTTCTGGTGCAGGTGGAATTCTCAATAATTCTGGTGAAATATTTGTAAGTTTTTTCTTCCACTATTGTTTGGTTAAGTTCAATAATACTTTGGTTTATAAGATAAATATTTTCTACTTATGAATATTGAATAATATGATAGATGATTCCATAATTAATATAAGATAAACTCCGATATCATCTTAAAATATGAATTTTATCTTAAATCAACTCTATAACAATGACATCTCTTGCTAATATATACATTAGTTTCATTATATGAGACGAAGGTTTATGTTCTAAATAGTGATCGGAAGAA